AATCTAATCAGTTCATCCTTGAGTCCTAGTGAATGTTTGTGCCAAATTGGAGGAGGTTCCGTGAAGGCGTTACTGAGATGTTGCGTCCACAAAAATGAAAAAAGTAGTGGTGGAAACGTGGCCCATATCACCAGATTCGGCTAAATTCAGGGATCACATTGATGTAAGGTTTTTGAATGTGCATTGTGCAATGTAGTAATAAGGGGCCAAAATTCTCATTCCTTGATCATAGCGCCACCTGCTGGTGGACATGTGTCATTTTTGGTGTCTGACATTTCTGACAATTCTATACCAGCCCTGAAAATTTCACTCAAACACGTTTTACAGTGCAAGCTGCAGTTTTACTTTCACGAGCAGAAAAGTAATAAATAGATAAAAATCTGAGAGATTACAACAGGGTTCCCAGCACCACTGGTACTGCATGCAAAGCAGCGTGGCCCCCAGCCTATTCGGGCTTAGACCCCTAATGAATACATAAACTGCTCAGCTGGCACTAAATCTAGTAATACCTTCCACTGTGCTGCAGGCAGTTCTCTTGCACTCTTTTCTCAGTGGTGCTGCTAGAAATCCCCTGACAAAAGCTTTGGCAAAATAAATACCCCTGACACATTTCTAGAATCATTCAGCCATGGATAACAATGCTAAGCTTCAAATATAAGTTTAAAGCAGCTCATTGCTTGAAAGTTCTTCCCTAAAATGTACTCCATGGACCTCCAGTATGGAGGAGAAGTGACAGTAAGGTTTTTGGTGTACATCTGTATTTTTATTCACTTCAGTTATGTATTAAAGCACATTTAAGCAGAGACTGAACAATGTGTCACTGTGTGGGTATATGATAATGAACATACTAGGAAAGTGGACCTACACCTCCCCCAACCATCCGTCGCCTACAAGCTTGCCTCCCCACCCTCCATCCCCCACTCCAGCCCGCCCAGCTCCTCTCTAAAGACAAGTTGGTCAGAGTAACCAAGAGCTGTGTGTGTGTGTGTGTGTGTGTGTGTGTACGAACTTTGAGGATGAATGGCTCAGTGTTTTTCTCAGGGACCTGAATGCAGTATGTTGCTGCTGACAGACAGGCGTGCTCATTCACACTCTGCTTTTCCACTTTCCAACTCATTTCTCTGTCACCCTGCTATGAATACAGGCCTATGCTCCGAGACATACACGCAAACACAACAGCAACACACAGTGTGCCCTCAGAATGCCTGGGTGTGATGGTACTATCAACTTCAGAAAATCTTTTTACCCATATGTTATGTTTATTGTAGGTTAAAATTCTACACAATAGTGTATTTTCCAATTTGTCACCACTCTGTTGTATTTCTGTGTTGTTGGCTTTTAAGTTTGCAGCAATTAAACCTCTAATTAAAAAGCCTACTCTTGATCTTGATGCTTTACCCAAATACAGACATATCATATCACCCTTTTCAAAACCTTTGACAAAGCTGTTGCAAACCAATTACAGTGGAAACCACTTATCAAGGGGGGAGAGTAACAAAGTAAATTTACTTGAGTAGGCTACTGTATTCAAGCATATTCTTCCAGTATCTGCACTTTACTTGAGTATTATTATGTTTTTAGAAACTTACTTCTAGAAGCTTAACTTTTCCTCCCCTACACTTAAAGACCAATATTGTACTTTTGACTCTCCACTACACTACTCACTACATTTCTATGAAGTACTCAGTCAGTAGAATGAATTTTATTTTATTTTGAAAATGTGACAGACCATACACTGTGTTCATCACAGGAGAAAAACCAATCACAGTCAACTCCTCCACTGTCATTCATGTTTGAACCTGTCAGTGTCCTAACCATGGCGACGTTAGATAAAGATGAGGCCATGAGAGAGACCATGCTCTGATCTGAGGTCTGTGTTTGAAGGTTTAAAGACAGATTCATTTAGGTTGAAATGTTTGCTGTGTTTACCACGACCACACTTCTTCACTGCCTACAAAAATAAAGAATCATGAAAATGACAGTGGCTCCTTTTGTTCATTCAGTTGTGTTTTTATGTCCATGTCTATAGTCTCACATGATACAGCCTGTATCATATCTTACAGTCTTTTTATTCTACAGGTTCTACAGTCAGTCAGTCAGTCAGTCAGTCAGTCAGTCAGTCATTCAGTCAGTCAGTAGGTTGTTTCAGAGTCTTTAGGTTCTGTAAATGTGGAACAACACAACAATGTGTTGAGATAAAAAAAATGCTTTTGAATACTTGAATACTTGAAATACTATTTTTTAAATCAAGTACTCCAGAACTTTAACTCAAGTGAAAATCTGACTGAACAACTTCCACTTGTATTGGAGAAATATTTGACCAGAAGGATCTGTACTGTGACTGGAGTAATGGAGCTGTGGACTTTGTCCACCTCTGCCCCTTATAGTGATCAGTTTGACCCGGACAGAGATGACCACTATAAGAAGTTTCCACTGTATTTGATTATTTGCACAGGAATTGTTTGTTTCAGATTTTCAATCAGGAGTTAGAGTCCATCACAGCACAGACGCAGCACTGGTGAAAGTTACCAGTGCTGTGTGTCTTCTCATGGCCTCAGACAGTGGACTCATCTTGTCCCATTAGATCTCAGTGCTGCAAGAAGATTTTATTACAGAGACTGAAGCATGTCACTGGGATTAAAGGAATTACACCAGGCTGGTTTAAGTCATATTTATCAGATTGATTCCAGTCATTTAACAATGGTTTCCATGCACACAAAAGTTAGTCATGGAGTTCCACACAGTTGGACTACTGTGATTTGTTATGATCAGGATGTCCCAAAACCTCTGTGAAAAGCCTCCAGTTCATCTGAAAAGCTGCAGGGGCGGGAACTGTCAGGAACTCGGAAAACAGATCATATTTCTACCATATTAGCTCTCTGCATCTGCTGCTCCCCGTAAAATCTAGAATAGTAGAAAATTAGAAATAGAAAGTTTAGAAAATCTAAATCCAGGCAGACTTCCTCTCTACATTTAAGATCAGGCTTAAAAAGAGCCCTGAACCATCCCGTAGTTATGCTGCTATAGGCCAAGACTGATAGGGGGAACTCCCATGATGCACTAAGCACCCTTCTTCTTCTCCCCATGCATTTATATCACACTACTGCATGTCATTAACTCTGGGTTTTCTCTCTCCCATAGTTTGTGCTTTTTCTCTGTCCTCTCTCTGCAGACATCTCTGACTCTGGAACTGTCACTACTGATCAAGACTCTTCATCATCATCATCATCATTACTCATTTTATTATTATTCTCATTATCATTATTATTGTTCCCGGTCTCTCACTCCCCCCTCTTTCTCCTCTTTCCCCTCCAATCCACCTGGTTGAGCACTGGTGTTCAGCAGGTTCATGCTGCAACACCATCTCCAGACAGTTCAGAAGAAAAGAAATAGTACAATTCTCCTGGATTAAATTTCAGTTGGGTGACCTGCCTTGAAAAAAAAGAACGGCAAAGAAATTTAGGGCACTCAAGTGGTTAAAAAAAAGGCAAAGGAATCACTTCATGTTCTGATCATTTAGTGAATTTTATTTCCAAATAATAGGCTGACATAGCTGAGTGATCTTTGAAGCGAGTGTGGCTTCTCTAGCTTCAATCCTCATTACAGGAGAAATAAGAGGGTGGAGGAGGGACAAGAGCAGTGTGTATAGCAGGTTTTGTGATTTCTGTGTGGTGGTGTGTTGTCTCAGAGCATGATACGTTGTCTGCCTAAAAGTGCATGAGGTCTGGGCTCTGAACAACATACTTGCGCATAGGAAGTATCTAGAGCTTCAGTTCCAATCATACCAGCTTAATGCTGTATCAGTTCTTGTTTCATGCTTCATGATAGTTGAAGACTCCTACTTGTCTTAAAATAGCAAGGAAATCACAGTCTATTCATTTATGTATCAGGTGACTGGAGTATATAATATGAAAGGCTTGGGGACTCAAAACTAGTTGTCTTTAAAGTGGGGTGCTTGCAATCCCAGCTTAAGTTTGATAAGATGTTAAGAAGAATTAAAACTTAAATTAATCTATTTTTATCGCGGCTTATGCCCCTTCATTTGAATACCAAGACTTTGACAAAGACTGACTCTCTGAATGGAAATTATTGCAGTTAAATTAGGCTATTTTGTATAAAACTGGAAGCCTTTTAATTTAAATGGAGGTCTATGAAGTGATAAAGTTACATCTCAACAGATGTATGGGCTGCATGTCTCCACTAGGCCAGAAGGGGTCTGACCCTCACCAGACATTTCCCCATCAGGAATGCTGGCTTCAGGTACTAGGAGAAATATTGGACTTAAAGAATAGTACCCACACACGTTAACAACATTACCAAAATTAACAGCGTGTGATGAGCCCAGGTCTCATATATAGTCATATGCATACTAATATATATATATTGCTATGTTCTGGTGGGAGGCTGGCAAAATGTCTTGTGTTAAAGCTTTTCCTTCAATTTGTATTACATAGTTTCTCTGCAGGTTTTGTTTTCACTGGTCTGTTCATTTACTTTTATTTTATTTTACAACCAAAATGGGCGCCACAAACTCTGCAAATAGAGGGTACTACACGCCAATATATATTTTCGAGTGTGGTTTTAGAAAAATACGAGGAGCACATGAAAGCAGCATTATATTTCCCCCCTTTGTCAAACCCCCTACGCCTGTGAAGAGCTGGGCGCTGAGCGCAGCAGTAAACCGTTCCCACCACTACTTACCGGCTACATGTGAGAGAAGATCCCTCCTGAATGAAACCAGGCAGAGGGAAGAAACTAAACCAAGCATTACTTTTTTTACTGCATGGAATAACGGCACTGATTTTTTTTTCACGAAGGTGTGTGAACTAGTTAAAGTTTGATGCCTGAGAGGTAATTCCGCAAGTGTGGAGTGACCGACACTGGAATCTGTGATCTCCGTCCCCTCGAGGAATAACGTTATCTTCTCGGCTAATTTGTCTGCGTACACAGGCACCGGCTGCGCACAGAGTGTACACGCTAAATAAAACCAGTGGAAAGTTGTTTGCTTCGCTGTAAGGAGGAGTAAAAGCAGCGGTTTGAGCGACTGAGTGAAGAGTTGCACCGTAGGCAAGGTGAGTGGCACTGTAGTCTGTTGTAGTCCGCCTCTACTCGACAACCCACCCGTGTCCGTATTTATTTCATTTAAGTGAAAACCGGGTTTGTTTTCCCACTTGTTCCCCTCTAAATTAACCAGCCCCCGTCTTGTGAACGGCACAAGCTGTAACGTTATTGGAACAACTTTTTACTATATACATATTTATGGTTTATTTTCACGTTGTTTTCATCCAATTTTCTGCTTTAGTTTATTAGAAATTGTTCAACGCTTGAATAAAACTAGCTACATTAGCTCAATCCAAGTTAGCTCACTAACACGCTGTAACTGGTACGGTGTGCTTCATTTGAGTTAGCTAACTTATCCATTTATATCTCTAGGCGTTGTCGATCCGAGGCACTAGCTGTCTACTAATGGTAATTATTTAGTTTCTGGTGTGACCCCCGTTTTTACGGAGTTTAAAATGCAAAGTGGGAAAATGAAATATACAAGAATTCATAGTGTTGCTGAACTTACACAGTTTAGAAAGCAGCCAACGTTAACTCACCCTGCGGTCATGTCCCTGGAAAACTAAAGCCAGTTTGACTCGAGGATATTTCCAGCTTTGCAGTTTCTCTATCATTTATTTCAAAACAAGTTGCATTTTACACTTAAGTAGTCAGAATCAGTCACTGTTAACACCCATTACGGTGTATTCTGTAGGTGAATGTGGATTCTGCTGTTGAACAGGTCATTCAGGTCTAAAAATCTAGTTTTAAATCAATGTATGTTCTTATTTCTGTATTACGTGTGTTGCCGAATTTACCAGAAAAGCCAACCAACTCAGACACATGTCTTGCATTCTATTTCCTTAGGTATTTGTATTTTGCTGTACTTAACAAAAACACAATTTGTCTTTTTTTGGTCTTTTTCATTGATATTCTGTTCAAGGAATCATACCTGTGTATTTTGCTGCACACTATGACTCAGAATATCACTTGCAGTCCAAAACTATGTGATAAATACTGTGTGCACTTTATTCCAGTCAAGCCTTACTTAAATTTGTTCCCTTAGAAAATAAAGCTCTCTTATTTATTCAGCTGCATGACCTGCAAATAAAGGTAGTTAATATAAGCATGAGAAATCATCAGGTGAGAATAATACTGTGGCTGATAATTGTTCTTTTGTAAGGTCAAAGGTCAAAGGTCAAATGCAGGTCTTCATGTTATTTTCTGGTTGAAACCCTGCTGAGAGTAAGTTCACCTTTTGTGATTTTGTGTCCCATGGGTGCTTGTCTTCTCTCACAGTGTAATTGTAGTGCCTTCTTCACCACCCATGGCCATCTGCTCCTATTGCCTCATAACATAATTGATGGCTTAGTATAAGCCAGGAAATGAGATGGAATATCCCCTCAAATGATGATGATGATGATGATTGCTTATTTATTTTGGATTCACTCACGTGGTTGTCTGCACTTTTGTGGAAACAAATTTTCAAATTTTTAAAAGTTTTTAAAAATCACTACAAATGTTTGTAAAGACCAACACATTTTGGTGATGAAGTTATCTTAGACATCAGTGGAAAGCTTCTCTAAAGTAGGTCCTTTGGAGCAATGTAACATGGTTCATTTTGTGGTGGACTCATCAAATGATCCCTTGTTTTCAAATCCTTAAATGAAGATAAGCTGCAGCTTCTAGAAACTGAACAAGTGTGACAAGTTTAAATAAAGCAGTACATTGCCTCCTAATGTCAGATTATGAGTGTATGCAATTAGAAAGCATGTTTAAGTGGAGCCTTTGAGGCTTGAGTGGAGCACATGTTTGTGTTGCCCCTGAAGTGAATGACTCTTTATGAGCACAACCAGTAGCCAGCATGTTCTTGTTCCTGTGCCTGGATAAAGTCAGACATCAGGACCCAGAGCGGTCTGGACTTGTAAATTGACCTTTGACCCCTGGTTTGCATGTCTGGCTTTTAAAGACTTGACTGCTGTTTCAGTCATTTCAGTATAGAAAACCTGCTGAAAAAAACTTACTTGCATTTCAAGGAAATTCATAACACGAAGTTGAATTTCAGGGCCAGTTGCTTGTTTCTATCAGTGAAATCATACAGTTGTAGTGGATAAGGTACATTTTTAGGGGAAGACTTTAAAAGGTGCAAAGGCTTCAATTTTTTTTGATTTCTCAGCATCAAACTGAACAGATTTCTTGCATAACAGGAATGACTTATTTCACTAAACTAATAATTCAGCCAGAGGACTTGTGACAGCAGACCTGATTAAGTCCTTCTGCAATAAACAAGATTAACCCTTACAAATTCTGTCATAGTCGAGGTGCTAAACGTCAAAAAGGGAGGGCCTGGGTGTTGATTGCTCTTGTTTTCTGTGTGTGGCAGCTGGAGGGACTGCAGGGAGGATGTCGTATTAAAACCTTTCATCACTGCCCTGCTTTTAGACAAACAAATGTCTTCTATGCTGACGTATTCACCCGGTATTTTCTGCCAAAGTGTGAATGTGAGATAAGGAAACGCTCGCGTGAGTTCTATTGTTTAACATCAGCTGTGACATTTGTGCTGTCAGTGTGGTAATGAAGAGGGGGAGAGACCAAGGGTTTGATGATCTGTGATTGGCTGGTGATGGCATGAGAGTATCTGAAATTTGCACATCACTTGTGATATAGAGAATAGTAAGGATCAGGTTATGCGTGAACAGAACATTGTAAGACATGTTGTCTGACCTCATTGGCAGTTGAAAATGATAATAATTGTTCTGGAATTTGAAAAGCTGGCTGTCATGGAGAGAGAGAAGACTTGATTTTGTTTAGATATGGGGATAACAGTGCACATTGTCAAATTCGACAGACATTCATTGTGTTGCACTCGTGAAAAATGTGAGAAACAGTTGTATAAAGAGTGTAAGCTTAAAGTAGATGTGGCCAATAACAGCATTAAGTGGATGTGAATGTCAAATTGTCTGTTTAGGAAAGTTACAGGGATTGTTGGACACTACTGCCCCTAATATCTGATGTTGAAAAGGTGTTTGGGGAGGGGGATTGCAAAGCTATGCAACCACCCTCCAACATGCAGTTCTGATGCATATTGCATAAAATGAAGCATGATGGCACTTTGAATTGCCTTTCTTTGTGATAAACATACTCCTCCAAATGAAAACGATCTCTGTCCAGACGACCACTTTAGCCCTGTATCAGAAATGATCTCCCTGCAGACTATCACACCTGAAAACGCATTAATGAGTAATCAGGTCCACTGGGCATGTGTGAGCCAGTGTAAACAGGAAGCAGGTTGTCTTCTCTGCAGATGATTAGTTGCAAAAAATACTCTGAACAAGGAACAGCAAAGACAGTTGTAGAATTAAAATACAGAATTGAACTGAACAACAGCTGCTAGCAATGACAACAAGGTCAATAACACTTGTAATTCATTATCCATGTTGTTTTCACCACTGGTAGTCAAGGCCCAATCAGGGAGCGACTGCTTGTGTCTACATCATCGTTTCCAAAGGACTGACTACAATGCAACCACAAAGTCTTCAAACTAAAACAGGGTCAGCAGAGTTTCCAAAAGACTCCGTTTTCAGGGCTCGAGAACTCTGGAGTCGTGGGGACGGGAAAGGGAAACGTAGCAAAAGAGAAACGTAGTGGCGAGGATGTAGCCTCAAACTCTCTTCCAACACACCTTTCTGACACCAGAACTGCAGGGCAGCAGTTGGTCAGGTGTGTTGAGGCATCAAAATACAGAAAGTATCTCAAACCCTCTTTTTCTACACGTCACTCAACTACTTCTGTTGCCTTCTGAGTGTACCACCGATTGCAACACCTTCTCTGCCTTCAGGGAGAAACAGTTTGAAAATGAGCAGCTTATGAATGAGTCATCGCTTTTTTTTTTGCCCTTCCTTCAAGTACGGACCTTTGTAACTGCTATAAATATGTTTGCCTTTAGACAAGGTCTGATGTCACCTTGTAGAAATTAATTTAATTCACTTTACAAGCACACCCCAGCCTTTATACGTCAGTATCTTTGAATTCTCAAATCAGTCCATTTTCTTTTTTGATTATTATTGACCAGAAACAAGCAGGTGAAGTCAGCTGACAGGAAATCTATGTGTTGGACATTGTGTCCAACTGGTCTTTTATCTTCCCCTTTGAAGTGGGCGATTACTCCAAAAGGGATCAAAGTACAAGTAATTTGGAAGGGCAGCAGACACTCGACATTTGAATGTTCGGCTTGCCCAGCAGGGGTCTAGGTCTATTCCACTCCCATGGTCAGATTAAATACTCAATTTAATTATGTCACTGAGCATTATGTCAGTAACCTTATCAAAGTGGCTGTTTAATGGGGCCTTGTGAGCCAGCAGATGCACCAAGGTTAGGGACAATATACTGGTGGTATAAACCCAGGGCAGAGGGATAATAGATGGGTCTGGAATCTGATACCCCTCCTGCAACATACCACTGCCACATTTTGAGACACCTCTAGATAGCAGACATTAAATATAGCCTCATCTGAGGGCACTACAGTTTGTAAATCTCAAAGTGCCTGGACACTGACGGTGTAGTGGGAGGATTATTTGGAAATGTTAGTGTTGCACGGTAAACTGATGCTAGGAAGGTATCACAATACCCTGCTGTCAAAACGGTACTATCCACCATTCTATTAATACCAATACTTCTAGAATAACTGCGTTTTAATAAGTATTTCCTTAGTTTCATGGATGCGTGACAGTGGAGCAGTGTTAGTGTGCAGCACTCTGTGCTCTTGCTGGCCATCCACTAGGGGTGAACAATTAATAGAGATATTATCAAACTCGCAATATGGCCAAGTCAAGGTTTGTCCTGGCTTAAAATGAGGTGGAGGTGGTACCATACCAATCATGTCCACACGCACGCACATTTAATGAGCCTTCAACTGGCTCAAGCAAACACTTTTTACCAACAGAATTTTAGGGGTTCTAATGAATCCTAAGGCATTTAAAAAAAGACATTGATAAACTGTAAAAAATTTGAGAGATGTCGCATTGTGAATTTT